GAGAAATGCATGAAGAGAGTAGAAGAATGCAAACAGATCTCGCATGAGTGCTCGAGGAAAGTTGAACATCATTCCGAAAAGGAAGAAGAGGTATCGTCAAAGAAAGAAATTGTACATCAATCCGAGAAGAAGGAAGAATTGAAATCGAAGGAAGAAGATACGAAAATTGTCAAAAGTCAGGAAGAAGAATCGATCGAAAAAGAAAGTATTAACACTAAAGATAATACTAAAGGTTCCAGCGATAAAGAAAGTAAAATCGTGAAGGGACTCTAGACGTAAACATATTGTCTCCGCGAACAGTGTTTGATTGTAACAATTATTACTGCGAAATTGTTTACGAGTACTTTCTGCATTCTATATTTCGTATATAGGGTAAGAGAAGGTAAATGCAAGTAGGCAATATTTTGGATTTCTGTGAATTCAATTAAATATATTTGCCGCAAGTATTGTACTGAGTACAGTTAAATGTTATTGATGTAAAAATAAATCTTTCATTCCTTCTTGTATACTAGTTAAGTAATTTAAAAGTAAATGTAATATGACTGTAATTATACAAATTGTGGTTTTAAGATTTAATGGGTTGCTTATTAATTAAGTAGCTAGGGCTTCCTACCTTCCTACCATAAAACTATGTGTCCCAGTCGGAACTGAATCAATTGTCTGTTCAAGATCACTAAACAGTGTTGCAGCGGAGATGCAAAATTCTTAATTCGATCAAAACTCGGGTGAAGAAAAAAACTTTCTTATTTGTTGTTGAATGAATACAAATTGAAGTTAGTGATACATTTCACGTAAATGCTTAATCGACTTAACATCGTGAATAAATCGCTGTTCGTTTATGTTGTTTTTACAGTATATTGGATCATTAAGGAAGGAAAGTGGTTTCAAGAGATACTTGTTTTCATTTTATTTAATAGCTTTATTCATAATTGGTTACAAAATATGATTCTCAATGCCTGTGAATGTGGCATAAGTTAAAGGACGCCAAGTGAAGGTGGAAGACTTAATGAATTATTGTTTTAATATTAATATGTATCTTAATTTTGTATCCTTTTAAGAGAGGTAAGTCATTCAATGCAATGCAAAAACAAATAGCAAAGGAAGGAATGTAGAAAATTAAAGAAAATAACTAGTTTATTCTTGAAAATTAGCATACTTATTAGTTATCAAAATTTTTGTTAACAAGTAATGAATGTGATAAATACTTGCGGTGAAGTATTCCCGTGGAAATTAACTGTACATTCATCTATATTAAGATTCCGTGACTTACCTGAAACAAAACAAAAATCGAGTTAGTAGTATATCAATAAAAAACAATAATTTTGGCTCCACTTAAAATTTGTACGTATACATATATATTGTACGTATATTATAAATGTGTAACATTTTAGGAACTGCATTACCCAAGATATCTTGATCGTATTTACAATTATTACACTTAGTCAAAAAGTGGTAGTTCGTGGTTCGCGCAGCAACTATTGATAACTGGCATGATGAAAGTACAAATAATATTTCTATTTTTAAATATGTAAATGTTTGAAGTAAAGTATAATTAATAATCTTCCATTTTTCTTTTCTATCTTACTCTCAAGAGAATATGTTTATTGTCAATAAATTGTTGGAGGTTCAAACAAATTAACGTTGCAACTTTAACTCATGTGGTTAGTTAGTGAAACATCGAAAAATAGCAATTACTGTTACAGTTAATACGAAAAATAGTCAGAAATAAGCAATAATTGAGGAAAGGTGCAAGTATGTTGTTTTACAACTTCGATACATTATTATACACTCTTAAAAGAATACAGTTGATAATCATATATGTATGAAAAAATAGAAATATTCTTCCTTGTAAATAATGACTTGCGAACTTATTCATCTTTTTGTAAGTTATGAGCCTAGCGCATCATCTGCTAATTGCGTTGCAAAAGAATTATGTTCAAAACAGTTATCTTTTAATATGAATACACTAAGTGTGATAAAGCTAGAGTTATCATTGAAAAATTATCATTGAAAAAATATTACGGAACACATTTAAAGTAAATGGATAAAACTGAAAAGATAGAAACGTAATGTTGCCGAAACACCACATTTTGTAGCAGCTGTTCACTTTGTAGAAGTGATATTGACGATACAAGAGACCATATTTAAAGACCTCTTGATGCTCTCCACAAATTATCTAAATTAGATGCTGATATGAAATTATAAATAAAGATATAGTATTAATATTGTTGTTATGTGGTCTACCAAACACTTTTTAGAATTTTACATGTGCTTATAAGTTCTAAGATAAGTTAATTGAAATAGATATACTAAAAATTTAGGTTATTGGGAAAAGTGATGCTCGTAAGAATAGTATTACAGATTAGATACCAACTGCAACAACTACATTCCATAAATACAACTTGCGATATATTTCAAAAAATTTCCATAATCAAAGAGTTAAAGAATTTTATATTAATAAAAAGTGTAACTTCTATATAACTTCAACAAAAAAATTACCAAGAAGGTGAATACGGTAAAAGTAAATTAAAAATAGAAATAAATTAATTGAAAAATAAATATATAGAAGAATTTATAAGAAAAAAGCTTGATAGCGAATAAAAATTAACTGATGATAAAATTGACAACTGGCTTGAAAATGATAAGATGTAACCATTTCTGTTAATTTTTCAATATGGTGTAAAAAAGTTCTTGTTCACTCATTCATGAATTGAATTTTTTACTAGTATAAACAAATAAAAGAAACATGCGATGGTTAAACTAAATAAAAAACATAAACTTCAGTTTTCTTCATGACTGTTCAACTATATACAACCCTTTCAAAATTTTAACGACTGTATTATACGAATCTATAGTAATTCTAGTCTTATTTTTGGAGACCTATGTTATTCCTTGTTATTCCTCATTATTTTTAAAGTATCATAAGAGTAACATTTACTAGCAGCCATTATAGGTATGGTGTGTCAAATAATTTTCTTTCCTCTCTTTAACAGTAACAATAATCTTACAATGTTCAGAAAGAAAAACCTAAGTTTAAAGAAAATTATCTTATACTTTTAGCCATTGTGATAAGTATATAATAACTCACGATAAACCATAGTCCGCTTCGTTGTGCTACCAGGAATGAAAGTGGCAAAGTCGATCTCTTAAATTCCTTATTCAAATTCTTAACGACGTAATGTCAACTGACGTAAAAGTCTATAAAGTGTTTATTGGAAATGATCATTTGAATTTTTTTAGAAATATCCAAGAAGACGTCACAAGTAACAAACACATAAAAATTAAATAGATACAAAATTTTCAACAAACAACATTGTCATCTATGAAGACTAAGTGAACACCTGCATATTAATTTCCAACAATATTTAAACAGTTTGACGTGCACGTGTAACGGTTACTTTAATACAATTTCTTGCAACGATAGAAAAACAGTTACATACGTAAAAACGTAATTTATAATCCAGGTGTTTAAACTGTTAGGTAAGTACAGTACACCTTTCTACGTTATATAGAATACAATAGATAATGTTTGAGAAATTACTCCTGCTCATGACAATTATATTATTTGCAATCATCTGGCACGTGGCCTCTCGGAGTATATAAACTGGCCTGTGAACTGCACTAGCCATGACTTTGCATACTCATTCAGTGCAAAGATGAAGTGTGTTCTGTTATTAATCGTCATTTTCGCAGCCGCGGCTTACGCCCGACATCTACCTCAGTCACAACATCATGGTCACCATGGTCAAAAGGCTGTATTGAAATTCCATCACTACCATGGCCACCACAAACATCACGACCGTCCTATTCACTATAAAGGGGTAAGTCCACATATGAGATATATTTGAAAATACCCACACAATATGCAATCATAATGAAAATGAACTCAAGCTGCAAGGTATAGTGGCATGTACGTCTATTTCGATCTTATCAGATACTACTCTTATACATAGTAAATTCACCAACATAACTTCATTTCAACTTTGTAACGTAGTTCAAAGATCACTGTTTTCCTTTGACACCATACAATTAATGTTTCATCCTATAGCGGAGAATATTATAAGCAAAATTATAGGCAAGAAAATCTCAACTGAATATCCATTTCTTATTGAATAACTAAACCTACATACGAATTCAAATGGATGATTCAAACAGAGGAAAATTTATCTGAATCTATCTATCTATCTATCTATCTATCTAATTATTTATCTATTTGGGCTTCTTTTAAGTTACTAGAGATAAAATGAAAGACCTTTTAAACACCTTCCACCCATAAATATAAAAATTGAGCTTAATTACAAAAATTAAAAAAGAATTACATAAATATTCGGCAGACTTTTCCTGACTTAACCTGTAACTTGGCAATTTTCAATAAGATTAATACTATATGTATATTTGTGTGAAATGAAGTTTCAACCAAAATGCGAGGAAACAACAAAATTAAATACGAATGAACCATAACATTAGAATGAACAACAAAATATTAGAAAAACTTGATAAGTTCAACGGTGTACTTCCAGGTCTCAAACAATAAAAATAATGACGAAACTTTCGAAAATCAATGGGCACAAAACGAAGAGCAACAACACCATTCAGCTCACGTTGGAGGAACTCACGAATCATCGTCCGTAAAACATTCTCAATCGGAGAATAAAGTAACACAATCCTCAAGTACACACACCAGTCACTCTCATGAATCGAAAACAGCAGTATCCGAATCCAAATCCTCACACCAGGAAAGCAAATCAGTAGGACAAAAGAGCAGCCAACGTCAAAGCCAGGCACAAGCTCAAGAGCAACAACAATCTCAATCTGAAAGCCAACAAAAGGACTCTGTGTCGGTAAGCAAGGGAAGCTCAGCCTCCAGTGGAAAGAGCAGCCAAAGTCAAAGCCA